CACACACACACACACACACACACACACACACACACACAGTCTGATGGCCCTACTGCTAGTCTGCCCTCCCTCTCCAAGTCCATCCCTCCCCAGCCAAGACCTCGTACAATGTCATCCTCCTTGTTATAGTTGGCGATGTCCTTCCGGAGGGTCCGAATGATGATCATGCTCAGGATGCCTGAAACAAACGGGTGGGGAGAAGAGTTGTGAGTACTGCCAATACGGTCTCCTGGGCTGCATGCCCTCCTAGGCTTGGTGTTTTGCTGAGTGATGGCTGGGAACTTCCTCCAGTGGGAACTGGCTATGCAGCTGCCTCTCCTGAGCAGAGCTCTACCCCAGCTATCCAGACAAGGGCACACGGAGGATTGCTCCCCTGGTAGGGGCAGGAAAGAGGGCAGGGGACAGGCGTGGGCAGCCAAAGCACAGTGCTTTTTATACCAGGGAGAACAGCACCCAGCTGCTCTGTGGCTTGGTCTTACTGACTTCTGTAGCCTCACTTCCTCCCAGACTCACCTCTTACTCTGCCCTGCTTGTCTGCTCCTTTTGTCATCCGTTCCCAGCCTCCTCTACTCTCACCTCACGCCTCTACTGGGGCTATTCCTTGCTCCCTTTGCCTGCAACGCCCCACTCTGCCCTGACTCCCACCCCCGCTGCAAGACTCACTCTAGGCATCTTTGCCTTTCAACACACCAAATGGTTTGGAGGTCCCCTCACTTGTACCTCCACAGTAGCTCGTTTGCCTCTCTGGGCAGCACACGACAGTGGTTAAGAGAACGTGTTGTATGACCTCAAGCTAACTTAACATTTTAGGCTTAGCTCATGGAATCTGAAGGAATGAGAGGTTTGTAAAGTGCTTATTAACACAGCAGCTGGCCCTCAGTAAGTGTGAAATACAGAGCAGCAGGCATTATCTTTACTTCCCATATGATACTGAAATGACCAGTTTTACTCTACCTCTGCCCACTACCCTCCCCCTGCTCGCCAGCCTCTCACCAAGCCTGTCCTACCGCAGGGCCGTGGCCTTGCTGGACCAGTCCTTCCCCGGGTCTCTGAATGGTGGCTCCTCATTCAGAGAGGGTTTCTCTAAAGCAGCCTTCCACAGCTGGGCGTCTGGTCACCCTGTATCTGCTCCACAGCACTTATCACCCTCAGGTCTCAACCATGTTTTTGCTTTTTTGTCTCTCCTACCACCAGAACAGACTCTTTGGGGGCAGAGACTGGGCTGGACCCGCTCAATGCCACATCCCCGGCCTGTGGCACAGTGCCTGCACAGCATGGGCAACAACAAAATCTTGTCGAATGAATCAAGGAAGGTGTGCACGAAGAGATGTATCTGTCTCTCCCTAGGGAGCTCTCCAAGGTAGAGACTGAATCTTCTTCACCTCTGCACACCTGATGCCTAGCACAGAGCCCTGATGTCTGTTTTGACCTACACTCGGCCCCTGGAACACCCTAGAAGTCCCCCTTAAGTAATGTGATGCCTCAGACCTTCCTCCCTCACCCTCTTGTCCTCTCTACCTTCCATCCCACAGATCTCTCACCTGATAGGAAGAAGACCACCACGACGGAGTTAATGATAGAAAACCAGTGGATTTGCACATCACTCATGGTCAGGTAAGTGTCCCAGCGAGAGGCCCATTTGATGTCACTTTCCTGGAGGGTGGCAGGGGGAGGGGGAAGATAGGATGGAAAAGAAGCACTTGGGAGTCAGGTCTCTTGTTAGACAATTCCTGCCCAGACCAGAACCCGCCTCCCCTGTCATGTGCTCCAGCCCCTTCTCACCTCCCAGTGTACAGAGTAGGTGAAGTACAGCTGATTCTCCTTGGTGGGGTCAATTTCCTGGGGCGAGGAGCTGGTGCCCTCAGGCAGGGTGCAAGAACTCTTCTCGTCTGCTTTGATGTCTGTGAGAGATAGAGACTCAGTCTGTTCCTGTGGGGGCCAGTGACACTACCCATGGACTGTTCTGTGGGGTTGGGAGGGGGGCCTCAGAGGCCTGCTGCTGGGACCCAGGGTCTGAGCAGAATGCAAGACGGTTGTAAAACTGTGCATCCCAGAGCCCTGACCTTCCTAAGGGCCGTTGGGGATGCAGAGAGGCATGTGCTGGGTGTGCAAGAGGGGGTCTGAGACCCTCATTTAATGTCTTCCTTCACTCAATTCAAACATTCACGTATTCACTCAGTCACCCTCACCAAACAGGAAAAATACCACCAATTCATGCTATCATGTTTTCTCATTCACTGTCTCCAAAGGCCCAACACTTCAGTACTGCGATCAGATGCTTCGTTCTTCATTTACTCATCTGTTCATCCTGTTATCTGTCCACCAATTTAACACATAATAAGAACCTACTACGTGCCCAGTACTGTGCTAGAAACAAAATGGGGAGAAAAGGAGACAGAGTCTCTAAACTCAAGGAAACAGTTGAGGGGAGAGATGATGTCAAAAAATCCCACGGCAAACGTAAAGCTGTGCTCACGACACTCACCAGAAGGAGGAGCAGCACAGTGCTCTGAAAGCACAGGATCTATGTCTTACATGAGATTTCTGGGTATGACTGAAAACGAGGTTCCATAGCTTAAAAAGAAAAACAAAGAAAAAAAAAAAGCCAGAAACCCACTACCACCTGGACCAAGGCCAGGCCTGCTAAATCCAAGTATGTCCCATGGTGAGCAAAGGCTGACAGGTGAGAAGCTGGACCAGGTCCTATCAGGCCTATAGGGCTAGGGTTGGGCTCTCAGATTCCTGCACAACTGTTGACCTGGGCCAATTCTAGCCTACGCCAATCACTCACACAGAGGAAGAGAAGCACAGAAACCAGCTGCCCGACCGCTCTGCCTGCCCCTTTGTTCTTCAACTGAGGGTAAGCCGGCTGGTTCTTATGAGAGGCCTAGCCAAGTCCCAGTGGCTGTGTGTTCTTGGCCAGGTCACCAATCTCTCTGAGTCTCTGGTTCCTCATCTATGATCACCACATACCTCCAGGGGTTGCCGGGAGGTGGTAAACTGGGAAGGTGCCAGGCCAGGACACAACAGATGGCAGCTCTCCCCTTGCTCGTCACCTTTTCTGATGGGAATGCAGTGACCCTACCTTGGCCGGGCCCATATAACACAGTGGCCTATCAGCCGTCTCAGAAACGAGTGTGAGAAGACCCTGGGTGTGGAAGCCCAGGCCCATCCAGCCCTGCCCCTCTGGTCACACCTCCCCACTCACCCTCCAGCCTGATGCTCTGGGGAATCACCTCGAAGCGGACGACGCGGTACGTGTGCTCCTGGTCCTCTTCCAGGTCCTCCCGGTGGTAGTAAAGGATGAACGAGAGGTGATTGTGCAGGTAGATCTAAAACAGCGATGGAGAGAACAAAATACCAGCAGTCAAGAAATAGCCAGAGAATCACCCCAGGTAGCAGGTCCCTCCCCTCGTCCAGCATGCCGAGCTATTTCAACCTGCCAGAAACACTGCTCTCACAGCACTCCCCACTCAGAAACCCTCTAGGGGTCCCTGGGGCTTAGGCCCACCATTCAAGGCCTTCTATCATCTTCTCAGACATCTAGCTCCCCCGCAGTCTCCCCTGACATCTCCCTGCCCCGTGCACAGTCCCCACTCCGCAGCTGTGTTCTCACATCTGCTGCAGCTAGGATACCACCCGACTCCACTCAGCTCGAGCCTACCTAGTTTTCAAGGCCCACCTCCTCCATGACAACCTGAACGCACAACAAGCTCTTCTGAACTCCGCTGGCATCAGTCGTCATGGCGCCAGCACCATCAGTGAGCAGCAACTAGGACTTAAGATGCAGGGTCTACATGGTCAGTCCTCTTCCTAATTGAGACCAGAAGCCCTTTGAGGACAGGGATTTTGCCTCAAAAGAAATGGTTTTGCCTTTTATTCCCCACGCGGTAGGAGTTCCGTTTAGAAAATTAGAAAGATAGGAGAATCACTATTACAACCATTGCCATTATCAGCATATTTCTCAGAGGCTGTGCTATGAAGCAGACACACAAATTATCTGATTTACACTGCATAACAACCCCAAAGGGCGGGTATGGCCATTACATACATTTCACCGACAAGGAATCGAGGGCACAGTGAGGAAATAGGTAGGCTCAAGGTCACTCAACAACTAGTAGGTGGTGGAAGTGAGATCCAAAACCCAGGAAGCCAGCATGCTCTAGACCACTACAAAGCTCTCTTTCCTACATACTGATGGAATTCTGTGTTTTTTCTTTTGTTTTAGTCTTATAAATGTGGAATCTAACTTTTTAGGGACTGTGCCTTCCACTTCCTGTGTAGCATCTGCCAGAGCCTTGCCCAAAGCACTCGGACTCTGACAGGCCATGCCTAGGGGCACTAAGAGAAAGCTGCCCTGGCCATCCTACCTTTGTGATAAACCTCTAGCTAAATATATCCTTCCCTGGGGCCCCAAGAGCTCCTGCCTTAAAGGGTGAAACTCCCACAGCCCTTCAGCCCGCCGAGACACCCTACCTTGTTGACATCCGTGAAGCCAAGCCGGTAGCCATGCTCAAACTGCACATCCTTTTCCTTCTTCTTGTCATCGCCTTCACGGTTGGAGTAGAGCTCCAGCCGGGTGGCCACAGGCAGGTTATCGGCAATGCTGGAAACCGAAGGCCCGCTCAGTCCCTCTGGGCCGCCTCTCCCGCCAGTGCCCTCCCATCCACCAAGGCGAGGCTTGCAGGGAGCAGAGGACAACTTACAGGTGGACATAGTAGTCTTCCGTGATCCGCTCGGCCACAAGCCGGCTCTGTTCCACGGTCAGGGTCACTGGCTTGTTGGACTGGCTACACAGAACTTCACACTTCTTTTCGCTGTTCATTAGCACCTGGAAAGGGGTGTTGACAATCCGGTCCCCTCTCAGCACCTCTCCTGCCGTAAGAGAGACAGATGGATCTCAGAGTTTCAGCCCTGAGGTTGCTGAGGCCAGCAGAGCCACGGGGACACCAGGCTGACTTGCAGGGCCTCTGGCAGTTCTGCACCTGGCACTCAATGCTCTGCCCTGTCTGTAGATAGCTTGCCCATCCTACTCCCACCTGTACGTTCCACCCCCGTTCTGCTCTATCACCCCCAGACTCTCCAGGGCACATCAAATATGCCATGTCATTCCATGCCTCTGGGCCTCATGTCACTTCCTTTGCCCAGAGTGCTACTTCTTGCCCCATGTTCCTGGGAAATTCCTCCTCACTCTTCAAGCTGTTTCTATTTCACCCTCTGGGAAGTGCTTTCTGAGTTCTTCAGGGCTGAGCCCGTCACCCTCTTCCCTGATTTGCCTCTGTATACAGGCAGTCTTGTACAGTGGCGAAGACAGGACTGGCCATTGAACCTTGGCTCTGCCACTCACTATCTTAGCAGTCTTGGTTAAATTACTTAATCTCAACAAACTTCAATTTCCTTACCTGTAAAATGGGGATTATAATAGTAACCATCTCACAGGGTTACAATGAAAAATAAAGTACCAGGCACAGAGCAGGCAGATAACAAATACTATTTTTATCATCAGCATCACCTTTGCACCTTTCCATGTCAATGATGTGACTTTGCACAATGTGTTAATATATTAAATTTCTGCGACCTCTGAGTTCTTTTAAGAGCCGACAATGTGTCCTATTCATTTCTGTGTCTTCAGATCCTAGCTCAGGCAGGGAGAGGAAGTGGACTGAAATCCAGCACCTGAGATTTTTTAGCCAAAACATGTTTTTACTTAACGAACTGGCACACCCTGTGCATGCCTGTTGCTTCAGAGGGGCCTCCGGATGTCATGCTAGCAGGCACTGAGCAGTTAGGGACTGTCAACTAAAACCGATGGCACTTTCATTCTGAACTCTACTAACAGTTCTTCTGGGACATTGTGAAACTGGGGCAAGCTGAAGACCCACCAAAGCCAACAGGCAGGACTAGCTCCTGCACGAACACTTGGTCTAACACGTGCTTCCCAGCATGGACCTGCTTGGATACAGCACTCTCTGCCTAGTCAGTCAGTCATTCCTTCAGTTGTTTGTTTGTTCATTCATTTGTTCATTCATTCATTCGTTTGTTCATTTGTTCCTAACTAGTATTGGTTACGTGCTGGGCCCTGAAGATGCAATGTTGAACAGACATACTCATGGATCTTACAGTGTAGTGGGAAGACAGACTTTGGTTAAATCATCAGGATAACGAGACTACATCGTGTAACAAGAGGAACTTGCTCTAGACATGGGGGAGCAGGTCTAGGAAAGTTTCTCTGAGGAAGTGATGTTTAAAGTGAGCTCTAAAAGAAGAGAGGCGTTAACTATGTAACGAGACAGAGGAAGAACATTCTAGACAGAAGGAACAGTACATGCAAAAGCTCCTGAGGGTGGGAGAAGTGTGGTGAGTCTGAGACACCTGTGTGGTTGCAGTGCAGAGGGCACGTGGGAAAGTGACTTAAGGTGAGCTCAAGAGATGGGCCAGAGCTGGACCTGAGGGCCTGGGGGCTGTGCTGGAAGTCCGATCTTTATCCAGGGAGCAAGAAACGCCAGTGAAGGGTTGCTAACAGCTGAAGGAAGATAGTATCTGATTCTGATGACAGAAAGATCACTCTGGCTGTTTTGTCAAGGAAACACAGAAGAGGCAAGGGACTGGTTGGGGCGATGCCAGTCAGTCATGCACGTAAGCGATGACGGTGGCTGGTCAGGGCTATGCTGAGGCTGGAAGCACGTACACAGATTCAGGAGCTACCGAGCAGGCAAAACTAGGGGACCTGATGCTGACTGATAAAAGGGATGAGTGAGGAGTGGTGCACATCAGGTAGACTGAGGTTTTCACAGCCGAGTGCTAGGGGGAAAACAGGAAGAAGAGCAAATTTAGACCGAAGGCATTTTTTCAGTTTGGAGATGTCAGGTGGGTATGTCAAGCAGGAGGTGAGATATCCAAATTTAGGGCTCAAAGGCCAGGTCAGGGCTGTGGATAGAAGCTGTGAGTTGCTGGCCTGTAAACCGTGCGGCAGGGCACGAGCTGTGCCACCTCAGGGAGTACGACACAGCCATGCAAAGTAGCAGCCGTGACGAGTGTGGACGAGGCCACTCAGGAGAGGGACTCCCCTTCTCCCCCTTTTAGAAGCCTAGTAACAGCAGCTGAGTCCATTAAACTCAGGGAGCAACTGGCCAGTGGAGAACAAGGATGCCAATAAGACACGTGCACGGTCCACTGTCGAAATGATTCAGGTCATACTCTTCATTTCACAGACGGCCATGCTAGAACCAGACAGGGACAGTGACTAGCCCATGATCATTCAAGGGGACTGTGGTAGTGCTAAGCTCTTGGGCCCCTTCCTCTACACCATGCCCTAATGCCCACTTCTTTTTAGTTTACAAGGAGCTCACCTGAGAAAAGGAAGGACATACACAGAGAGAAACCAATCTGCAGACCAAGCCAGCAGGTATCATTTCTTGATATTTAGAAATTAAATTTAAACCAGGAAAGAGGACATGCTGGTTTGGAACGGCTCATTTCTAATACAGAAGTATTCCTTTCAACCTTTAATAGCTGGAGCAGAGAGCCAGCCAGGCTGAATGAGCTACAAGCTATGAACGTGGACCCTCTAAGAGAGCCTGACATTGTACTCCAGTGCATCTGCCACAGACACTCCCTCGCACGCCATGATATGAACCTCCATCAGTGCGATCACCATGAGCACAGCCCTCAGACAGCCCAAATGAACCTTTCTGGGGAAGGCAGCCAGGACAACAGAAAGAATCGTCTTTAGAGTTAAAAACAAACAAACAAAAAAAACCTGGGCTAATATCTCAGTTTCTCCACCTATTGGCAAGTCTTAACTCCTGAAGCTGCTGTTCCCTCTACTATGAAATGGGGGTAACCCTATTGGTGAATGACTGGGGCACATGACTTTACCTCCTTTTGTCTCACTTCCCTTACCTATGTTAAGGGGATAGTAAGGGTAGCTACCTTCATAAGGGCTGCTGTGAGAATTAACTAAGTTAAAGCAGAGAAGGGCCTAGAACAATGCCCAGCTCCTAGAAGAGCCCTGTAAATACTAACGGTGGTGATGATGATAATGCTAAGTACAAGGCTTGCCATCCAACAGGTATATAATGAAGGAGGTTTCTGCTCCATTCAGGTAGGACACTAACATTGACTGAATCCTCCTGTGGATTCTTACACTGGGTCAGAAGTGGGAGAGAGAGGAATGGAAGGCATGATCCCTCCACTCTAAGAGCCCCTAGGCCATGAAGGGAGCCACTCCTTGAAGACAGAATGATACAATACAGCAGGATAACTTTTGTACACAGAAGTTTCTATTTCTTTTTAAAAAAAATTTTAAATGTTTATCCATTATTTCACACACACACACACACACACACACACACACACACAGTGTATGTGGGGGAGGGGCAGAGAGAGAGAGGGAGACACAGAATCTAAAGCAGGCTCCAGGCTCTAAGCTGTCAGCACAGAGCCTGACACGGGGCTTGAACCCACAGACCATGAGATCATGACCTGAGCTGAAGTTGGAAGCTCAGCTGACCGAGCCACCCAGGTGCCCCAAGAGGTTTCCATTTCTATGAGGCAGGAACATCCCCCAGCTTCATAGAAGATATGGCAGAGGCTCAGAGAGGTTAAGATCACCCAGTGTCACACCGAGGTGCTGAGCCACAGGCTGCCAACGAATCCACACCAGCTCATGGGAAGGGAGGAGCTGCTCTCAAGGGTCCGGGTAGCAAGGGGCCTGGAAGACAAAGCAGGTCACGTTTCTCAGACAGAGACAGGTGGTTGGGCGTGGCATGGTGTGGTGTGGAAAGAGAAAAGAAGCATAAGTGACAGGCAGGAGGGGCAGCCCAGACAGTCAGTGGAAATCAGCCCTGAGGCAACAGTACGAGTCAAGACTGAGGGCTGGGAGGTGCTGCCTGGTTCTGGTTAAGCTGACTAAAACATCTGAGCCATGGGTAGCCCTGACAGAGAAGGCAGCCCTTTCAGAGGCCTGCTCAAGAAAGTTCTCTCCTTTCTCCCTCCTCAGCTAAAAGAGGGAAGTCTCCTAAGTTCCTTGAGGTCAGGGACAGCATCCTTCCAAAACCAAGATGGGCACAGAGTAAGTACTAATAATTTTGTCAGGAACAGAGGCTTCTGAATGAGTGTCCTTTGCTTTAAGTCTAAAATTCTACCAAATGAAGAATTATTTGAATTAGAATAAAATGGCTACTATTTATGGAACACATATGTCAGACACTGCGCTGGGTGCTTCACACATTATTTGAGGCAAGTCTTGCACAACCACTTAGCAAGAACTATGGTGATGTTTCTGCTTCCTTTAGGGCCAGAGGTAGTCACTCATTCTTTTAATTAAAAGCAGAGTAGGTTACAGAAGCCAAGAGAGACAGAAGGGAGTATCTAGAAATCAAGGGAGAGCCAGTCTGAGCAGTAGCCTGCAACTCTGAAGTCCAAACACATGGACTCCAAGCCCAGCTTAGCCATTAACAACATGACCAGAGGCAAGTCACTTAACCTGTAAAATAGGCATAAAAACAGCAACTACCTCCCCGGGGATGTTACGAGGATTGAATGAGCTGATATGTACGTAAACCACGTAGAATGGTGTCCAGCACACGGTAAAGTCAGGGTTCACGGCTATCATCATTACGCAAAGATCTGGCTTCCCATCTGCGACAGGCTGACAGTGAGAGAAAAAACTTACCGAGATTCTCTGCCTTGTAGGTTATTTTGCTGGGCTGGCAGAAGGGCAGCGAGTAGTATTCATAAGGTAGCTGGGTTCGAGAGCTGGTGAGCTTCACAGCCTAGTGGGAGAAGAGAGGCTGTTTGTTGTTCCTCCATCCAGAAACCAAGACAGCTGTTTCAAGAGTTCCACCTGTACCCACACATCGTTGGTATAGTTGCAACGTTATCAAATAAGCAAACTAAGTGCAGCAGATGCAACTGTAGCATACTACACACGAGAAAGTCTACAATTCTGATTTCGTGTGTCATCAGCTTTAGACTACATCACAGATTTTGTTTAAAATCATAACCAAATTCAAATACACTGAGAGTCTGATGTCCTTTGACCCTATAATTTCACTTCCGGGCATCTTTCCTAAGGAATAACTCCAAACGAGGATAAACTTTAGGAACAAAGAGGTCCACTCCTTGCTCATAACCACAGCGTGGTTACAGTGCCTACAGTTCCTCGAGCCCATCAGGCTCTGCACCCGCTGCTCCTCTTGGTCCGACCCCGTGCCTGTCTGGCTCCTTCTCACATTTAGGTCCCAGCTTAAGGCCCCTCGTCTGGAAGTCTCTCCCCAACTATTTCATCTAAGGGCATTCCTTCATTTGCTGTACTCCAACATGTGTAGTTTCCCAGGTAACAGGTCTGATACAACAAAATTATTTTGTTTACCTGTTTTAAAAAATCAGTTTCCCCCACTAGAATTTAAGATTTAAGCTTCATGAGGGCAAGGACCTACAGAGCCAGGCACACAGTAATGCTCATTAAATGTTTGCTGCATGACAGAAGAGAGGAAAAACGTGAAAACAAGTATAAGCCCCCACAATGGTCAGTAAGCCATAATATACTCATCCAATTAAATATCATGCAACCATTAAAAATGAGGTTTAAGAAGACCATGAAGGAGAATGTTTAGGAACTGATAACATGCACACAGACTATAGCTCTGAAAATAGTGACAGTCATAGATAACACCAAACCGTAGGTAAACAGAACAAAATGTCGCAAAAAAAAAATTCTAGTCTACGTGTAAATAAAATTATCTTTGCTATTTAGAAACTATCAACCATTCCTCATGCATCATCTATAAAAGGACAAATAATTTTTAGAATCCAGGTCCACAATCCTTTTTTAAAATTCATGCTTTGATATGGAGGTTCCTTAAAAAATGAAAAAATAGAACTACCCAACGACCCAGCAATTGCACTACTAGATATTTATCCAAAGGATACAGGTGTGCTGTTTTGAAGGGGCACATGCATCCTTATGTTTACAGCAGCACTATCAATAATAGCCAAAGTATGGAAAGAGCCCAAATGTCCACCGACAGATGAATTGATAAAGATGTGGTGTATATATGTGTATATATACATATACACAATGGAATATAACTTTTTAAAAAAATTTTTTAATGTTTATTTACTTTTGAGAGAGAGACAGAGAGACAGAGCACAAGTGGGGGAGGGGCAGAGACAGGAGGGAGGGAGAGGGAGGGAGACACAGAATCCAAAGCAAGCTTCAGGCTCTGAGCTGTTAGCACAGAGCCTGATGGGGCTTGAACCCACACACAAACTATGAGATTGTGACCTGAGCCAAAGTCAGACGTTTAACTGACTGTGCCACCCAGGTGCCCCTATATACAATGGAATATTACTCGGCAATCAAAAAGAATGAAATCTGGCCATTTGCAACAACATGGATGGAAGTAGAGTGTATGATGCTAAGCAAAATAAGTCAGTCAGAGAAAGAGAAATATAATTTCACTAATATGTGGAATTTAAGATATAAAACAGATGAACATAAGGAAGGGAAGCAAAAATAATATAGAAACAGAGAGGGAGACAAATCATAAGAGACTCTAAAATACAGGGAACGAACTGAGGGTTGTTGGAGGGGTGTTGGGCTAAATGGGCAAGGGGCATTAAGGAGGACACTTGCTGGGATGAGCTTCGTGTGTTGCAAGTAAGTGATGAATCACTAAATCCTATTTCTGAAATCATTATTATACCATATGTTAACAAACTTGGCTTTAAATTAAAAAAAAAATCTCATGCTTTGAAATTAGGAATTTATTTTAAAAACATTTTAATGTTTATTTTTGACAGAGAGAGAGAGAGACAGAGCATGAGTGGGAAGGGGCAGACAGAGAAGGAGGCACAGAATCAGAAGCAGGCTCTCTCTGAGCTGTCAGCACAGAGCCCGATGCAGGGCTCAAACCCATGAACCACGAGATCATGACCTGAGCCACTACCTGACTGAGCCACCCAGGAGCCACAAAAATTTTTATTTTAAAAGGGCAGGGTGGACAATGCCCTCCAGCTGAGTCTGGAGCAGTACCCCATATTTAATGACTATCTGTGTAAAGAAATGCAAAAATGTTCATACTAAGTGGGATAAATAAAGTCAAACACTTCAGGCCAAGTCTTGTCTATAAGGAACTTAGAAAAACTGGGTTTCAGAGCTTTTTAGATGTCAACTAAGAGAGAGAGGACATCTATTAAGCGTTTCATGAATTGCTTGAGACAAAATGGCCAAAAAGTTACTGTCTATTAGAACAGCCTGCTATTTTGTGTTTCTCCCATTCTCTCTTTCTGGATAATCAAAAAAGAATCCACATTGCAAAGAAACTGAGCCCCACCTTTATGTTCCCTCCCACCCTCCCTCCCCCAACCCAAAGTGTGCCCTCTTCCATCCCCAGCCTGGCAGGACTGGAAGCCAGAGCCACCCTCTCCTCCCTGTGCCACAAGCTTTGCTCTGGAGGCAGCTTTTGACAAAAGCACTGAGAGGAAGGGCACTGCAGTAGTTAAGAGATGGAGCAGTTAAGAACTAATCCTACTTCTTTGTCTCCATATGACCTTGGGCAAGTTGGTTTACTTCCCTGGGCCTTCGTTTCCTTATCTATAAAATATACGGTAAATCTGTAAAATATACAGTATCTGCCTCAGAGGGTTCCTGGGCCGGGGGGGGGGGGGGGGGGGGGGGGGGGGGCGGAGAGGGAGGAATAGTGAGTTAAATCAGGCATAATGCCTGGCATGTACATAACCCTCAATAAATGTTACTTTAATTACTGCTCCTGAAAGTAACAGTCTGACCTCCGAGGAATAGAGATGCTCACAATAATGCAACACACCTAATGTTGCATCTACTCATTAATTACTGCTTAGTTCTAAATGCAGATGCTTTTTAACATATTTACATGCTTTCAGACATACTTATACACCCTGCCAGGCTATGTATTAGGAGCTGGTAACACAGCAGTGATTGAGACAGATAAGATCCCAGCTCTTTTACAACTTGATTCATAGCAGTTTTCGGTTTTTTTGTTTTTTTTTTAAACAAATGTATTATTTATATATTTATCCTCTTCACTGATTAACAACTCCTGGACAATCACAAACTGCTTGTATGTGATGCCCCAAATAAGCACGACACATAGCAAGCTGTCATTTTGCTAATACCTAAAATGTGGTGTCAAACAAAGGGGCCCATACATGGTGGCACATTAGGTAGACGGCCCTTTGTGACCTTCTTGTCTTCTGTTTCTCCTTTTGGACACTGTGACGCTCAGGAAAGGATACAAACTTGATTTTCATGCAATCTTACTGAGTCGCTTCTGCACAGACCAGTGAAGATGTGGTTCACATCACCACGATAACGAGGCAGGAAATGTACGTTTATTTTAGGAGCAGGATTTATTTTTGGAACTAAGTTTTGTTAGCCCTTTTTACAAAATCACTAAGGATGTGAAGGACTACTCAAAACTTTCAACTACTGGTTACTTTGCCAAGGGAGGAACAGTGTAGTAGTCAAGTAACTGGGGATTTACAGAGGCGAGGGGATGCCAAGTGCCCTACACGGTCAACACTGTACAGGAAAAAAAAGACCCAGAAAAATACCAAAGTATTAAGAGTGGTTATATTTGGGTGACGACAGAGGAAAGACCCTTTGGCTGGGAGCCCTTGCACAAGATTACGCCCCTTCCCCGCCCTCCCTGGTGGCAGTCCATATCCAATGACTGGTTCATTGAGGGATACAAAGAACCAGTCCTCTTGCCTCAACTTGGAACAACTCTGAAGGGTCAGCCATTCCAGTTCCAGAGCTTCCTGCAGGCCTCAGTGAATCCCTCTGCCCAGTCCTGCTTCCCTCACTCCCTCCCGAGCGCTGACCCTGAGAGCCTATCCAATAAATCTGTACCATATCTCTACCTCAGAGTTTGTATGGATCCAAAAAGATCCACCACCAACCCCTAGCCCTACTTGGGGCTCTGAGAATGCCACCACCAGTACACTGTTAAAGAGCCACTAATCAAAGTGCCAGCTTGCCCACTGCCCCTGACCAACCATATGTTAAGAGACTCGTTCCCCACCCTGGCTAGTTGACTGACCGACAGGTGGACATCTAGCTTGAAAAGCAAAGGTGTCTGGTGGGATGGCTTCTCTTTACACTTGAATTGTTCATGCACCAATTTGCCTTATCTATTTACCATTGATTCCACTATTTATTTGGATCTGATTCATTTTTTAAGGAAATACATTTAAGAAGCTAATACTATTATCACTATTAAAAATGGAAAACCGGGGCGCCTGGGTGGCGCAGTCGGTTAAGCGTCCGACTTCAACCAGGCTACGACAGGTCTGCATTCAAGGGTTCAGGAGGCGTGAGTTCGAGCCCCGCAGATTGGCTCAGACTCTGGGCTGATGGCTCGGAGTCCAGCTTTTCTTCCTGAGTTTGTTTTGATCTTGTCTCCCCTCTTCTCTCTGCCCACCTCCCCTTCATGCCTGTGCTCTGTCTTCCTCTGTCCTAAAAATTCAGCCAATGGCAATTGGAAAAAAAAAAGGAAAACCAAGAGCAGCCATAAAATCATGAGTTGAAGCAGTAGCTTATATTTCTTAATACACGTTAAAAGAAAATAGCTATTAAAATAAATCGTATTTGTCAACTACTTGAAATCACCTCATATACCCCCACTCAGATGGGTAGTACACAGTTTAGAAAAACTGAACTGGGGAATCCAGCTGTGGCAAAATCTGCAAGCAAAAACACAGCCGTATACGATAGGCTGTGTATGTGCGGACAATGTGGGTTATGCAAGAGAAACTGGTGACTGAGAAGAGAAGGGAAACTGATGAAAGAGGGAGGCAGAGGTGCCACAGAGGAGGCAGCCGGTTGAGAGAGACAGACAGACACGCACACACACTCACAACTAGGAACAGGGACACACGTGAGGATGAAAGTGAGAGAGAAACACAGGCCTGGCCAGAGCCAGAACCAAAGAGAAAGCCGGAAAGGGACACAGAGAGAACACACTCCCACAAGCAGAGTTGCAGACAGGGAAAGAGAGAGAGATGAAGAGGCAGAGTGCCCGGAACGGTGGACTCGGGACAGCACTCCCCTTCCAGCCAAGCAGCACGCAGCGGACTCGCTTTTTCCCAGGGCGACTGGCACGGGCTTTTGTTCTCTGCAAGCTTGGGCCCATCTCACCAGGGCCCTCCAGCCAGGCTGCCAGCACAGAGGCTCCAACAGTCCAGAAACGCACCTACCTTGATTTCTACAGGGTCGTTCTGGTGGAAGTTGATTGGTGCAACCCCAGGGACGTAGAAGGCGTGAGAATCACACGCGAGCGAGAGAAGCATCAGGGACCACGGCAACCAATCCTGCTTGGAAGAAGAGAGGCTGTAGTCAGAATGGGGGAAAGAAGCGAACATCTCCCTGGGGCAGGTCAAGTCATAACACCTTCACGTCTGCTTTACCTGACCCAGTGTCATCCCTACTCTGTAAGTGCTGCCTTCCACATGCCCCCAAGAGTCCCACACGGCACAGATCTTGCACTTCTGCACTTCTGGAAACGAGTCACAAAATGAGTGAAGTAATTAACATGGGGACAAAAGGGAAGACTGTCATACAGGAGCCACACTTCCCCACTTCCGGATCAATGTTCTTTCCACCATGTCATGTTGTATCACTCTTCAGTATAGCTAGCAGGAAGCTAAGCTCCACAATGTTCCACAAATTCCCTTTTTTCTATGTAGCAATGGGCTTACTTTGTCAGGAAGGTTCCATATCACCAATACAGCTTCATACACGCCTTCTCCAAACTGTATGGGCCTCATCCCCTGCCACTCTCCTCCTCACTCAGTTCCAGCTATGTTGGCTTTCTTGTTGTCTCTTGATAGCAGGCCCTTCTCTACCCCTCAGGGCCATCCCCTTTACTGCTCAGAATGTCCTTCCCACAGATACATGCATGGCTAATCTCATTCCTTATTTCATTCAGGTCCCTCTCAGACGTCACGTCCTCAGAGAAGCCTTCACTGACAATCCTATCTAAAATAAGCACCCCCACGGTTCCCATTACCCATTCTCCAGCCCCCTTGCTTCATGTCTCTTCATGGACTTTGGTACTTGATATGTACAATATGCATGTGTTTATTTGTGCAGTCTGTCCCCTTCCACTTGAATGTGATCTCCGTGTGTCCCCAGTGCCTGGCACAGAGCAGGCACTCAGTAAATGACCTACCTGCAGGATAGTCACCTGGGAAAAGACAAGAGTGACCAATTACTGGCCTCAAGAAATGCACTCCATCGAAACATCTCTTTCCCTTAACAACATGCTTCACCCCCTCAAAGAACTAGAAGAGTTTCCTGATTCTCTCTCTCCATTTGGTCTAGACAAGGGACTCTTGTCCAGACACCCGGATCACAGATTCACTAGTGTTCCTGCATCTGCCCTGTCTCTCTGCCCCCTGTACTGTCACAGCATTTCAGACCCTTGTTTCCTCTCACTGGACACAGCCTTCTGATCACCTTGCCTCCACAGCCCCTCCATCCTTCAAGTTACCAGCACACACGCGCGTGCGCGCGCGCGCACACACACACACACACACACACACACACACACACAAACTCAGATGGTTCTTTGGGAACTCAGTTTTATATGGAGTCAGAATTGCTCAGGGGGCTTGCCAAAAATGTGGCCTCATCTGCATTCTTACCAGGAGCACAAGCTGAGAAAAAGTGGCTTTAATAGTTTAAGGTTCTGAGCTTGGTGTACTTTTTGTAGATGCATAGCTTGGTTAAAGCCTTAAAAAGAATATATTCAGAGTGTCCCCCCCCCCCCCAATTTGCTGTAAATGTAAGTATCTGCCAGCTTGTTCATTATGAAATTACGAAGGAACAGTGCGACCCCAATAAAAACAGTGAAAGAGGACTATGACAGCTGTACTGTACTTAGTAATCAATGGGGTCAGGGGTTGACAGCAGGATATTTAAAAGAAATGACCAGACCAGAAGGTAGAAAATTATCAATGGGGTAGGATTCTATATAGGAAAACAATACTTTCCCCTTTCTGTCCCTTAAAAATTTTTTTAATTTTATTTTTTTAAGTTTATTTATTTTGAGAGAGAGTGTGTGTGTGAGTAAGAGGAGGAGGGACAGCGAGAGAGGGGGAGAGAGAGAGAATCTCAAGCAGGGTCTGCGCTGTTAGCACAGAGCCCAATATGGGGCTTGAACTCAAGAACCGTTGAGATCATGACCTGAGCTGAAACCAAGAGCAGGATGCTTAACCAACTGAGTCACCTAGGCACCCCAGAAACTTTCAATTTTAAAGTAAATTTAGATTTATAAAAGAGTTGTAAAAATACTATGAGAGTTCCATGTACTCTTCACCCAGTTTCCTCTAATGTTAACAGTTTACATAACTACAAGCAGGCAAGGCTTTTAAAAATAACTAGCTTAAAAATGTTTTGAAAAAGTAGCACATACACAGTAAATAATTCACACAGTACAAATGGATATACCATGAAAAAGAAATCTTCCTCCCACTTGGGCTCCCTATAGACAACTGCTATCACCAGTTCCTTGAAAATCCCTCTAGAGACATTTTACGCACTCACAAAGAGAAGGGTTTAGTAGTATGAGTTTGTCTTGAGTACAACAACAACAAATAGGATTTATTCTCTCTTTTTGTGATGGAAAGCCTACGGACCCAGGCTGGCTACAGCATCTGATTTCCTCTCCAGCAGACAATTTCCTCTAATTGACCTGTTGTGAGAAGATTATGGCCCTTCCTCTTTGGAGCCCTGTGCTAGGCCTCATTGGTCAGTCTTTAGGAATGTGAGTGCTTTGAGTCAAAGAAACAAATCAGGTCCTCTTTCCCCAAATTCCTCTTTCTACCTGAATTCCAGTTCACTAAATGCAAGGAGAACAAATCCTGCAGCTCTGGCACAAACCGCCACACAAATGTTTAAAAAACAAAAACAAAAAAAACCACCTGTGAATTTTTGAAAAACGAGGCAGAAGACAGACCATCCTCACGCAAAGATACTATCAACATAGCACACATCAATGGATCTTAGAGGAAGGATCAACCAATGAAAAATGGCAAAGGCTATTTCCTTAATGTGCTATCATCTTTGAATAATACAAGTTGGCAACCAAAAGCAATTCAGAAGTTCAGTTGAGAATTAGGGGGTGCATCAAAATGACACTGTCAGTTTTAGATATTAAAATGTCACTGTTTTGATATTCTCATATGGCTGGAGGGATAATTAACTAGAACCCTTCTGGAGCAGGGGGCAATCTGGCACTCCATCAAAAGCATTCCCCCTCCTCCCCAAGCACATACTCTTTGACCCTGCAATTCTACTTTGAGACATGTTAAGAAAAATATGGCAGGGGCACCTGGGTGGCTCAGTTGGTTAAGTGTCCAACTCTTGATTTCAGCTCAGGTCATGATCTCATGGTTCGTGGGATAGAGCCCCATGTTGGGCTCTGTACTGACAGCTCAGAGCCAGGAGCCTGCTTTGGATTCTGTGCCTCCCTCTGTCTGCTCCTCCCCACTTGTTTTCTCTCTCTCTCACGCTCTCTTTCTCAAAATAAAAAGGAAAAATTATTTAACAAAAGAAAAATACGGCAAATATGCCAAAATGTACACAAAAG